GTTCATGTTTGTGGTTCTGGTTCTGGGGTTTTTCTTCCTGATAATAACGTCGCTGCGTCTCTGGATACTCGTCCCTGATTGGTCGACGCTGTGGGTCTGACGCGAAAAGTTCAGCATTTTCAACTTCTGACGCTGACTCCTTGGACGCGCGTCTAGAGCGTCGACAACAAAACGCTCAAGCCACGTCGACGCCAGATTTCGCGCCGCGCTGACGCCCGAAGACGCGCCGCAAAAACGCAGGACGATTTAGTCGCTCGTCCACATCGACTTTACATAGAAACTGGACACTTTGACGCTTTGGTGTGAACGAACTTTAAGAATCAAAACAAGTTTACAGAGAACATTTTGTATGTGGAGCGACGACAAAACAAAACCCCGTTTGTTAATGTAGAGGAGCAGAAGACAAACAGACTGAGCTGCACTTTCTTGTTCTTGTGGTTTTACACAAACATCACGTCTTGGTCTTTGCAGTGGAAGGTGTTTCTTGGTGAACAGTTGGAGACTTTCACTTTGGTGTCAACTTTTAAAATTCATAAACGAGGTTGAACGAAGGATCAGGATTTTGTTTTGTCGTCGCTCCACATACAAAATGTTCTCTGTAAACTCGGGAGGATTTCTTAAAGTTCGTTCACACCAAAGCGTCAAAGTGTCCAGTTTCTATGTAAAGTCGATGTGGACGAGCGACTAAATCGTCCTGCGTTTTTGCGGCGCGTCTTCGGGCGTCAGCGCGGCGCGAATCTGGCGTCGACGTGGCTTGAGCGTTTTGGCGTCAACGTTCTAGACGCGTGTCCAAGGAGTCAGCGTCAGAAGTTGAAAATGCTGAACTTTTCGCGTCAGACCCACAGCGTCGACCAATCAGGGACGAGTATCCAGAGACGCAGCGACGTTATTATCAGGAAGAAAAACCCCAGAACCAGAACGAGAACCACAAACATGAACGGAGAATAAATATTTACACCACAATCACCGAGACGATCACCAGGACCGGACCAGGACTAAACCAGGACTGATCCAGTGTCATTAGTGGAGTATAAATATAAACTCGCTCCAGTCGTCGAGTCGATTTCCTCCACTGATGTTTTATGTCATAAAAACACTAAAGTCTCTCAGTTTGGTCTGACATTGTTTCAGGAAAAGACCAGGACCGGGCTCTTGTTTCCAGGGCAACGGACGCACGTCAAGTATTTTTCTCTCGTTCGTCCACAGAGTCAAAGACGCACGTCGGGGGCGTCTAAACTCAAATGCAACAGCGTCCAAAAAGAGACGTCAAGGTGTTTTTTGACGCTTTGGTGTGAACGAACCTTAAGTCAGACAAATGTTTCCTTTTTTGTTCTTCCTGTGGATCAATCCTGCCCATCACCTTCACCTTTCACTATTTTTCAATTCTGTTGGGAAGAGAAACAGTTTGAACGGAGGTTTGAGTCACACACATCTGATTCACTTTTGCATTTATGAAGTTCACAAACACATTTCTGGAGTCGTTTTCCGCTGTTTGGATCCAACAACCACACGATTACGACGTCCGAATCCCAAAACTAAAATATGACAATATCAGAAGGTTTGATGATCACTTTTTCACAGGATCATTCCCCGTGTGAACTGGGCGATGACCTGAAGTCTGAGATCGGTGATGCGTGTTTTCTGCTGGAGACTCGGTCAAGCGCTTTTCTCAGGTTATTGCCTTTTAGTTTGGAAAATTCCACAGTACGGCATTAAACCTTTCTATCTCCATGGAGACCAAACCAGGCGCAGTCAGAGCGTCTGTTTTGTTTTTCTGAGCTGTAAAACCTGCGATTGAATAAATGTAAAGTCGAGCCGTTTAATGACACACTGCGGAACATTCCAGGCAGAGCAGTGACATCTCCAAGCAGGTGACGGACCCCCAACGGAAAAGTTACACAGTGCAGCTTTAAGATTCCGTTCTACATTTCTAACACATTTCTAAAAACAACAATGAAAGTGGATTTAAAATGAAAGCACAGCTCATCGGTCGATCCAGAATTCATAAAAATCACAGTTTTGGCGTTAAAAGTAAAAATACAGATTTTCAGCGTCGCCACCGGCAACAGCGTCACAACAGTCAGTTTACAGGAGTAACGCGCTGAGCCGGACGGACACTGTGCGACGTTTTCGATGGTTTCACTCGGCCTCGGCTCAAACTGAACGACCAAATCTCAGGGTTTAAAAGTTCACAGCTCAAGATTCAGGTTCTCACGCCAAACGAACCTCCGTGAAACGCCAAATAACATCCCCTGCATTTGTTTGATTCGGTCACTCAACAGACCAGGCTTTTATTTGAGACCAGGCTTTTATTTGAGACCAGGCTTTTATTTGAGTTCTAATTCCATGGTTTTCTACTTCTGAAACAACAATTCAGGTCGTCATGTGAACGTTCAGTGTGCGCAGGCGGGCCGCGTTTGAGCATCAGTTCGTTCAGTGTGAGAACATGATTCGTGAGCTGTGAACTTTTAAACCCTGGGATTTGGTCGAACAGTTTAAGCTGCGGCCGAGTGACACGATTGCAAATATGGCACAGTGTCCGGCAGAACAGAGCTTCAGACAGAGCAGTGCCTCCTGTTAGCGTCACACCCCCAGAGGACGTGGGTGACGTCAGCGGTAAAAGCTCAAAATAAAGGAGAAATTTTTCCACAGCGTAAAAACCTGAATCTAAAACCCACAGTAGTTTTACAGGAAATGCCCTTAAATGAAACGTCACACAAAAGAACAAAATAAACCAAAAAAATTTAAAAAAACAACACAAATCTGAACCTCGGCGCGTCGGTTTTACATTTAACTAAATTTAAAAGTGTCCAAACAAAACGGGGAAGGTGCGTTCTTAGGAATAACTTAAAACTATAATAATTCTTTAGGTTTCAGCGTCAGAATAAATTATAAAAAAAAAATAATAATAACATTTAAAATAATTTCAGCATAAAGGGTTTTTTCAGCTTTCGGGGAATTCCTGATTTAATTTTTACAATCATTTAAATAAACCATTTCTTATTTCTGTCACTAGTGCCCTGAGAAAACGCACAGACAGTTTGAACTACACTGCCCATCATGCACTGCGGCTTATAGCACCAACTTGGCCCCGCCCCCGCAGAAAACAACACCGCGAGAGAAGCAGACAGGGAGGGACCTGACACACACGGGGAGGGACCTGACACACACATGGGGGGAGGGACCTGACACACACACGGGGAGGGAGGACCTGACACACACACGGGGGGAGGGACCTGACACACACACGGGGAGGGACCTGACACACACACGGGGAGGGACCTGACACACACACATGGGGGGAGGGACCTGACACACACACGGGGAGGGACCTGACACACACACGGGGAGGGACCTGACACACACACGGGGGGAGGGACCTGACACACACATGGGGGGAGGGACCTGACACACACGGGGGGAGGGCACCTGACACACACGGGGAGGGACCTGACACACACGGGGGGAGGGCACCTGACACACAGGGAGGGTCCCTGACACACACGGGGGGAGGGGCACCTGACACACACGGGGGGAGGGCCCCTGACACACACACGGGGAGGGTCCCTGACACACACGGGGGGAGGGCCCCTGACACACACACGGGGAGGGCACCTGACACATACGGGGGGAGGGCACCTGACACACACACGGGGAGGGCACCTGACACACACGGGGGGAGGGACCTGACACACACACGGGGGGAGGGACCTGACACACACACGGGGAGGGACCTGACACACACACGGGGGGAGGGACCTGACACACACATGGGGGGAGGGACCTGACACACACGGGGGAGGGACCTGACACACACACGGGGAGGGACCTGACACACACACGGGGGAGGGACCTGACACACACACGGGGAGGGGACCTGACACACACACACGGGGGGAGGGACCTGACACACACACTGGGGGGAGGGACCTGACACACACATGGGGGGAGGGACCTGACACACACGGGGGGAGGGCACCTGACACACGGGGAGGGACCTGACACACACGGGGGGAGGGCACCTGACACACGGGGAGGGTCCCTGACACACACGGGGGGAGGGCACCTGACACACACACGGGGGGAGGGCCCCTGACACACACACGGGGAGGGTCCCTGACACACACGGGGGGAGGGCCCCTGACACACACACGGGGAGGGCACCTGACACATACGGGGGGAAGGCACCTGACACACACACGGGGAGGGCACCTGACACACACACGGGGGGAGGGCACCTGACACACACACGGGGAGGGCACCTGACACACATGGGGGGAGGGCACCTGACACACACACGGGGGGAGGGACCTGACACACACGGGGGGAGGGCCCCTGACACACACACGGGGAGGGTCCCTGACACACACGGGGGGAGGGCCCCTGACACACACACGGGGGAGGGCACCTGACACACACGGGGGGAGGGCACCTGACACACACACGGGGGGAGGGGCCTGACACACACACGGGGAGGGCCCCTGACACACACACGGGGAGGGTCCCTGACACACACGGGGGGAGGGCCCCCTGACACACACGGGGGGAGGGCACCTGACACACAGGTGGGGGGAGAGCCTGACACACACACGAGGAGGGCCCCTGACACACACAGGGGGAGGGCACCTGACACACACACGGGGAGGGCACCTGACACACATGGGGGGAGGGCCCCTGACACACACGGGGGGAGGGCCCCTGACACACACACGGGGAGGGCACCTGACACACACACGGGGAGGACACCTGACACACACACGGGGAGGACACCTGACACACACGGGGGAGGGCCCCTGACACACACACGGGGGAGGGCACCTGACACACACGGGGGAGGGCACCTGACACACACGGGGGAGGGCACCTGACACACACGGGGGGAGGACACCTGACACACACGGGGGAGGGCCCCTGACACACACGGGGGGAGGGCCCCTGACACACACGGGGGGAGGGCACCTGACACACACGGGGGAGGGCACCTGACACACACGGGGGGAGGGCACCTGACACACACGGGGGGAGGGCACCTGACACAGAGGTAGAGTTTTCAGAATCGTGCCGGTGTCGGTTCGGAAACAGAGTAAAACTCGTTTTTTCTGAGTGACCCGTGGTGACCTGGTGGACCTGAGCAGGTTCCTCGGGTCACACACAGGAAAATAAACAAAGAAAACGTGTGTGTGGAACATGGAGGAGAAACAAGAGACAGAAGATCGTGCCGTGGTCAGAGGACAAGAACAAATATGTGCTGTGTCCGTGTTCGACCTCTGAGGTTCATCTTTGGACTGGACTTCAATGCCGCCGAATCCACAGCAGATGTTCCTCCACAGCAGATGTTCCTCCACAGCAGATGTTCCTCCACAGCAGATGTTCCTCCACAGCAGATGTTCCTCCACAGCAGATGTTCCTCCACAGCAGATGTTTCAGAGCAGCTGAAATCATTATTTGTCTGAGTCCAAACTCTCGCTGGTGTTGATGGTTTGATCCATGATTGTTCTTTTTCTTGCTGTGACGTCCGCTTTTGTACGGCCTTGTGTTTTTTTTGTTTGTTTCTTTTTTTTTTCTTTTTGGTGGCAAATCCTCTGTGGACGACACATCGTGGCTTCATTTAAACAGTTTGAAGGCAAATGTTATTAGGTTCTTTTTTCAGACCAAGAGTTTGTTTTCAGACCTGACAGTTTGCTTCTGCTCCCTGCGCTCTTCTGAGCACCTGACAGTCTCAGTCTCAGTTCTAGGAGGCGATGTGGTTGCGGCGGTGGAACTCGCGGTAGCAGTTCCTGGAGCTGTTGAAGCACATGGTCTTGAGGCAGACGGAGCAGTAGACCTGAGTTTTACTTCCGCACATGACACAGGTCCTCCTCCCCGTGGTGCCCCTCATCCGCGACGGGACGCCTTTGAGCTGCTCCGCGAACGCCGCCGGCAGATGCCCCAGGTGCACCAGCCCGAAGTCCGGCTCGCTTCCGGTGTCCGTGGCGATGGGCGGATCTGCAGAGGGGCGGGGGAGCTGGACGGGCGTCGCCGCCTGGTACGTGGCGATGAGTCTCCGGTTTGGCGTCGACCCGATGTCGGCCAGCTCCAAAATGAGCGCTTCACGAAAGGCCTTCTGCGTGAGCGGCGTTTGGCGGTGCATGGCGCTGAGCTGGCGGTGCAGAATAAACGCGTTGACGGCGGCGATGTCGATGAAGTGGTAGAACAGCGTTTTGTACCACTTTTTTGTTTTGTGCACCACGTTGTACGAATTTATGAGCGCATCAGATAAATCGACTCCGCCCATGTGCCGGTTGTAATCTTTGACACAGTCGGGGACGAGCACCTGTCTCTCCGCCCAGCGCCCCTGCTCGTTTTTCACCTTCCGTTTGACGAATTCTTTGGCGCTGGCCTTGTGCATCGTGGAGCAGATCGTGACTTCTCGCGCATCGAACCATTTCACGAACAGCAGGTCCTTCTGTCGCAGCCATCGGATGGTTCCGCGCGCAGCCTTCGGGGGCATTTTATTCCTCGTCGCTTTCGGATAATCTCGTAAAGTCGAGCGGATGGTGCCACAGGCGGAGATCTTGCGTTTGAGAAGGTGTCTGAAGAGCGTTGGACTCGTGTAGTAGTTGTCCACATAGAGTTTGTATCCCGTTCCTAATTTCGTGGAGTTGAGTAAACGCATCACGACGTCGTAGCTTTGCCCATTTCCCGACGGTTCTCCGACTTTTCCATCGTAAATGAAAAAGTTGACGGTGTAACCGCTCGAATCCGCCAACACGAACAGCTTGAAGCCCCATTTCGTGGGTTTGTTTTTGACATACTGCTTGAAGCCGATCCGGGCTTTACTCGCGACCATCCTTTCGTCGATGGAGATGTGCTGTTTGGGGTGGTAGTACGTCTGACACGCCTCCAAAATCTGTTTGTAAAGAGGACGCACTTTGCACAGTTTATCGTAATCTTGGGTCCCCTTTTTGAGCTCGTTCTCAGCTTCCACGTCGGGATGGTTCATGTGCAAACAGCGAGAAATGTCGTTAAAACGTTGTCGGTTCATGGTGCTGGAGGGAAAAGGCAGCGTGTACAGACGTGTGCTCCTCCAGTAGTCCAGGAGCGTTTTGAGAGGGACCACGCCCATGTACAGGACCAGGGCGATGTACGAGAACATGTCTTTGGACGTGACGGCGGCGAAGTTGGCGTTGGCGCGTTTTCCGTACGAGTTCGTGTTTTGGATGAGGGACGTGATGACCTCGGAGGAGAAGAAGAGCTGGAAGAGTTCGCGGGGAGAGTACGAGGAGGTGACGCTGAGCTGCGGGCCCACGATACGAGAAGGTCTGAACTTCAGCTCCTCGGGGTCGGTGTCCTCCTCCTCAATGTTACGCCAGCGAGCGCCACCTGCAGGACGGGAAGGGGAATGCACGTGAGAACAAACCAAAAACACATCGGCTCTTCTCTGCTCATCTTTATGGTTTACTGAGAGGATTCTGTTCAAAGTTCACGTTTCAAACACGTCCAGAATAAAAAAATAATCACACAGTTTGGACTTGGATCTAAACGAGAAGTGCAGAGTCTGATCTTTGAACACGCAAGAGACTCAGAACCACTGGAGACAGGAAACATCTGACGTCATCGCACACTAGAGTTGCCCGGGAGGATGACATGACAAAAAATAATATTTTAATTGAAACGAGTGTCATTGTACAGTCTGTGCGTGTAGTTTAGTAGTAAGAAGGTTAAAAAATAGCCTAGTCGGAAAACAAATAAGAACGTGAATACTGTATTTTCCGGGCTATTGGGCGAGTGCCTAATTGCCCGGAAAGTATGGTATGCACGTTGAGCTAATTTTGTAATGAATGAGCTATAAAGTTTGCATGTTTATCGAGGCTCCTCAGTTTGTTTGCTATATGATTGTTCTAAAATCTAAAATCAATCGGCGGATGAAAAACTGGTCAAAACCTTGGGTGCAAATGGACAGTGGGCGGATGATGAGGTTTGTGTCGCAGTTGCGTATGAAAAAATAGCCCATCCACGCATCTCTGTTGTACACAGATCCCTCTGTGGTCTCTGCGATCGGACATTTAAAATCTCATCAGATTTCCACCTTTAAAAATCCTTGAGTGTGTCAAGACTTTTACTCAAAATTATAGAATGATAAAAACCTGTAACACATGTTTGAACGGCAAGTTTAACCTTTATTCCACGTTTGAAGTGATCCAGATGATTCTAGTGAAGGTGTGTGGAGTTTAAAAACACAGTGGAGCACTTCCTGCATCACCACATGATGAAATCACAAGGTGGAACAGAGTGTGAACAGAATGAAAAAAAATGCAACTCTAGGTCTGTTTATGGTGAGGACAGAGCTCAGAAAATAGAGTCTTACGGGCCTTTGAACTACAGGAATAATTGGAACCGCAAGCAGAGATAAAGGGTCCTCCAAAGTGCTGTATAAGTAGCGGGTGTGGGGGCGGGCTCTGGAGCGATGATTGACAGCCGAACAACAGCCACAACAATCAACACGGCATGGACTTCAGAACAGAGTGGACATTTGTGTTCAGATCACAGTGTTTCTTTTTTCTCCAGACACGGCAGGACATGGCGACGCCCGGTGGTGCAAGGTGATGCCAGGTGGGGGCGGGGCTGAGAGGGGCTCCTCATGTCCCGCCCATAGACGCCAGTGTTTGCGCTCGTCACATCATAACCTGCGTCTGACTCATCGGCGCCGTCAGTCCGACCCCAAAACTCAAACGTCGTGGTCGTAGTTGATCCTAAATTCGCCGACAGACACGACTCTGACCCAAACGTCACATTTTTAACAAATTTGCACAAAAATGCCAAAATAAGTCCAGAGAAAGAGACACGCTTCTGTTTTAGACACATTTACACACAGAATGAAGAAAAAAAATGTGATTTTGGTGTTTATTGGCTCTTTCAAATTAAAAATAGGGCCCAATATGGGCACTTGAGACATATCGGCTCTCGGCCTGAATCTTGCCGATCTGGGCCGATATTCCACGTGGGCAGGTTCTACCTCCTTATAAAGCTCAGACTTTTTATTCTGTCCATTTCATCCACTTTACAGACAGATAAACGTCCTGATATGTGACGCTGCATCAGGGTTTATCTGTGGAGTCATTTGTCTGTGACGCACCTCCACAGTCACGTCACATGACTCACTGTTCTTGTTTACACCTGCAGCTGCTGCAACATGCTGCTTTATATTATATTTACGGACAATGATTCTGAGTCAGGATTAAGGCCACATTTACACTGAAATGTATCACAGTCTCTCCATATCGGAAACGATCTGGGTCCACACACATCGATTCTGTGTCCACAAGTTTTCTCTCTCCATTCAGCTTTGACACATTTGTTTATGTTTTACAGAAACTAAATTTAAAACCACACGACTCATTTGCATAAACTAATGTGTGTGATAAAAAACTGTTGTTTCTTGTGTCTGATGTGGTTCAATTTGTGTTGGACTAAAGAACACAGAGACTCAGTGGAATATGAGTGTTCTCTCTGTGACAGAGGGGTGTTCTCTCTGTGTCAGAGGGGTGTTCTCTCTCTGTGTCAGAGGGGTGTTCTCTCTGTGTCAGAGGGGTGTTCTCTCTCTGTGACAGAGGGGTGTTCTCTCTGTGACAGAGGGGTGTTCTCTCTGTGTGTCAGAGGGGTGTTCTCTCTGTGTCAGAGGGGTGTTCTCTCTGTGTCAGAGGGGTGTTCTCTCTGTGTCAGAGGGGTGTTCTCTCTGTGTCAGAGGGGGGTGTTCTCTCTGTGTCAGAGGGGTGTTCTCTCTGTGTGACAGAGGGGTGTTCTCTCTCTCTGTGTCAGAGGGTGTTCTCTCTGTGTCAGAGGGGTGTTCTCTCTGTGACAGAGGGGGTGTTCTCTCTCTGTGTCAGAGGGGTGTTTCTCTCTGTGTGACAGAGGGGTGTTCTCTCTGTGTGACAGAGGGGTGTTCTCTCTCTGTGACAGAGGGGTGTTCTCTCTCTGTGACAGAGGGGTGTTCTCTCTCTGTGACAGAGGGGTGTTCTCTCTCTGTGTGACAGAGGGGTGTTCTCTTGTGTCAGAGGGTGTTCTCTCTGTGTGAGGGGTGTTCTCTCTGTGTGACAGAGGGGTGTTCTCTCTGTGTGACAGAGGGGTGTTCTCTCTGTGACAGAGGGGTGTTCTCTCTGTGACAGAGGGGTGTTCTCTCTCTGTGTGACAGAGGGGTGTTCTCTCTGTGTCAGAGGGGTGTTCTCTCTGTGACAGAGGGGTGTTCTCTCTGTGTCAGAGGGGTGTTCTCTCTCTGTGTCAGAGGGGTGTTTCTCTCTGTGACAGAGGGGTGTTCTCTCTGTGTGACAGAGGGGTGTTCTCTCTGTGTCAGAGGGGTGTTCTCTCTGTGTCAGAGGGGTGTTCTCTCTGTGTCAGAGGGGTGTTCTCTCTCTGTGACAGAGGGTGTTCTCTCTGTGTCTCTCTGTGTCAGAGGGGTGTTCTCTCTGTGACAGAGGGGTGTTCTCTCTCTGTGTCAGAGGGGTGTTCTCTTGTGTCAGAGGGGTGTTCTCTCTGTGTCAGAGGGGTGTTCTCTCTGTGACAGAGGGGTGTTCTCTCTGTGTCAGAGGGGTGTTCTCTCTGTGACAGAGGGTGTTCTCTCTGTGACAGAGGGGTGTTCTCTCTGTGTCTGTGACAGAGGGTGTTCTCTCTGTGTCAGAGGGGTGTTCTCTCTCTGTGTCAGAGGGGTGTTTCTCTCTGTGTCAGAGGGGTGTTCTCTCTGTGTCAGAGGGGTGTTCTCTCTGTGACAGAGGGGTGTTCTCTCTGTGTCAGAGGGGTGTTCTCTCTGTGTCAGAGGGGTGTTCTCTCTGTGACAGAGGGGTGTTCTCTCTGTGTCAGAGGGGTGTTCTCTCTGTGTCAGAGGGGTGTTCTCTCTGTGACAGAGGGGTGTTCTCTCTGTGTGACAGAGGGGTGTTCTCTCTGTGTCAGAGGGGTGTTCTCTCTGTGTCAGAGGGGTGTTCTCTCTGTGTCAGAGGGGTGTTCTCTCTGTGTGACAGAGGGGTGTTCTCTCTGTGTCAGAGGGGTGTTCTCTCTGTGTTCTCTCAGAGGGGTGTTCTCTCTCTGTGACAGAGGGGTGTTCTCTCTCTGTGTCAGAGGGGTGTTCTCTCTGTGTCAGAGGGGTGTTCTCTCTGTGACAGAGGGGTGTTCTCTCTGTGTGTCAGAGGGGTGTTCTCTCTGTGTGACAGAGGGGTGTTCTCTCTGTGACAGAGGGGTGTTCTCTCTCTGTGTCAGAGGGGTGTTCTCTCTGTGTCAGAGGGGTGTTCTCTCTGTGACAGAGGGGTGTTCTCTCTCTGTGACAGAGGGGTGTTCTCTCTGTGACAGAGGGGTGTTCTCTCTCTGTGACAGAGGGGTGTTCTCTCTGTGTCAGAGGGTGTTCTCTCTGTGACAGAGGGGTGTTCTCTCTCTGTGTCAGAGGGGTGTTCTCTCTGTGTCAGAGGGGTGTTCTCTCTGTGACAGAGGGTGTTCTCTCTGTGTCAGAGGGGTGTTCTCTCTCTGTGTGACAGAGGGGTGTTCTCTCTCTGTGACAGAGGGGTGTTCTCTCTCTGTGACAGAGGGGTGTTCTCTCTGTGACAGAGGGGTGTTCTCTCTCTGTGTCAGAGGGGTGTTCTCTCTCTGTGTGACAGAGGGGTGTTCTCTCTGTGTCAGAGGGGTGTTCTCTCTGTGTGACAGAGGGTGTTTCTCTCTGTGTGACAGAGGGGTGTTCTCTGTGTGACAGAGGGGTGTTCTCTCTGTGACAGAGGGGTGTTCTCTCTGTGACAGAGGGGTGTTCTCTCTGTGTGACAGAGGGGTGTTCTCTCTGTGTCAGAGGGGTGTTCTCTCTGTGACAGAGGGGTGTTCTCTCTGTGACAGAGGGGTGTTCTCTCTCTGTGTGACAGAGGGGTGTTCTCTCTGTGTCAGAGGGGTGTTCTCTCTGTGACAGAGGGGTGTTCTCTCTGTGTCAGAGGGGTGTTCTCTCTGTGTGACAGAGGGGTGTTCTCTCTGTGTGACAGAGGGGTGTTCTCTCTGTGTCAGAGGGGTGTTCTCTCTGTGTCAGAGGGGTGTTCTCTCTCTGTGACAGAGGGGTGTTCTCTCTCTGTGTGACAGAGGGGTGTTCTCTCTGTGACAGAGGGGTGTTCTCTCTCTGTGTCAGAGGGGTGTTCTCTCTCTGTGTCAGAGGGGTGTTCTCTCTCTGTGTCAGAGGGGTGTTCTCTCTCTGTGTCAGAGGGGTGTTCTCTCTGTGTCAGAGGGGTGTTCTCTCTGTGTCAGAGGGGTGTTCTCTCTGTGTCAGAGGGGTGTTCTCTCTGTGACAGAGGGGTGTTCTCTCTCTGTGTCAGAGGGGTGTTCTCTCTGTGACAGAGGGGTGTCTCTCTCTGTGTGACAGAGGGGTGTTCTCTCTGTGACAGAGGGGTGTTCTCTCTGTGACAGAGGGGTGTTTCTCTCTGTGACAGAGGGGTGTTCTCTCTGTGACAGAGGGGTGTGTCTTCTCTCTGTGACAGAGGGGTGTTCTCTCTGTGTCAGAGGGGTGTTCTCTCTGTGACAGAGGGGTGTTCTCTCTCTGTGTCAGAGGGGTGTTCTCTCTCTGTGACAGAGGGGTGTTCTCTCTCTGTGACAGAGGGGTGTTCTCTCTCTGTGACAGAGGGGTGTTCTCTCTCTGTGACAGAGGGGTGTTCTCTCTGTGTCAGAGGGGTGTTCTCTCTGTGTCAGAGGGGTGTTCTCTCTCTGTGACAGAGGGGTGTTCTCTCTCTGTGACAGAGGGGTGTTCTCTCTGTGACAGAGGGGTGTTTCTCTCTGTGTGACAGAGGGGTGTCTCTCAGAGGGGTGTTCTCTCTGTGACAGAGGGGTGTTCTCTCTGTGTCAGAGGGGTGTTCTCTCTGTGTCAGAGGGGTGTTCTCTCTGTGACAGAGGGGTGTTTCTCTCAGGGGTGTTCTCTCAGAGGGGTGTTCTCTCTGTGTCAGAGGGGTGTTCTCTCTGTGTGACAGAGGGATGTTCTGCTGATGTTCAGTCTGTTCTGTGTTTCTGTTGTGTTGTTGGTTCATGTGAAACTTTTCACACATTATACGTGTGCAGGTGGTGCACACAGACACATGTTTATGTGAATGGACACATATTGTGTGTCTTAGGCTACGTTCAGTCTGCAGGTTTAACGCTCAATTCCGATTTTTTTGTGAAATCTGATGTTTTTTCGAGGTCGTTCACATTTCCAGTTAAATGTGACTTGTGTGTGACTCCAGTGTGAACATTAAACGGTCCAAAAGTGTCCCACATGTGACACTGGAGACACGACGACGTCAACCGCAGCGAGCGTCTCTGTGTTTACACCTGGAGATTTTAAAGTTCCTCTCGTACTGGAGCCACAACATGAACAACTGACTTGTTTTAAGGAGGAGATTGAGAAGGAGAAGGACCAGGTTTTTGGTGGTGGTGTTTTGTGGTGAGTGGAGATGTGCTTCACTTCAGTCACATGGATCATGAACAGTTTTCTCCTACTTCAGTGCAGAATAGTGACGTTTGTGTCTTGTTGATGACGTGTAGGTGGATGAATGTGACCTGACCGTTCACACTCAAGTCACATGTTAAAGATCAGATATGGATCAGTTTCAGGAGCACAGATCCAAGTGTCCTGGTCACATGTGAAAACATCACATCTGTGTGGTTCAGACATGAAAAGATCAGATACAGGAACATAGAAACAAAAAATCAGATTTGGGAAACTTCAGGTGCATCTGAACGCAGCCTTAGTGTTTTGTGGTGAATGAGTCGGTGGTGACAGACAAACATCAGAGTATCAGAGTTTTCACACAGTCTCCATCACATCTGAACCAACATGAACTCGTGGAGCTGGAGGCACCAGATCGTTCCGTCTCTGGAACCATTTTCCGTCAGATTAGTGTGAACGAACACTGTACACACAACAACACCACTCACATACACACTAGTGTGAACAGGGCCTAAGAAAGGACACTTATCATTACAGACTTGTGATGTGAGAGGAGCCTGTGTGAGTGTTTTGGTTGTTTCTCGTTGTTTCGCTGTTGTCGCTTACACATAAATCGTCTGTTTTCTGACATAGTTCTGGTGTGAAGTGACTCTAGTGTGTGCACATGTGACTGGACCTGCACTGATGTGTGAATGATCCGTATTTACACACATCATTAATCACCATGGTGACGCATTTACTGTTAAAGGCTGATTTAACTTTGTTTACAGGTTGGACTGTGATGTAAAAATGGCGTTAGTCCGACCTCCTGTCTGTAAATCTGACGCAAAGACGCAGAATATCAAGAAATGTCGCCTAAACGAACACAATTTAAAGTCCAGTCGAGTCAGACCTGAGTTTTATCAACAATATTATCAGTTCCAGTTTTATCAGTGTTTTATCAGGCTGCAAAAATCGTGCTCTAGTGAAAAATAAGACGCGTGAGAATCGAGTGAAAAAAAGTCCAGACCTCCTCCTCCTCCTCCCGCCTCCTCGTGCGTCTCTCTCCTCCCCCGCGTCGCCGCTCCTCTCCTCCAGCAGGGGGCGCTCCCGTTCACAGCCCCAGCAGAGAGCGCCTTCCTTGGGGACGAAGAGGGACCAGAGCGCCCCCTTTTGGACGGCGGCATCTCCCACTGCTCGTCCGACCCACTGTCCCCCGAATCCTCCGACGACGATGGCGGCGGCGGCGGCAGCAGCAGCAGCAGCGCTCTGCAAGGAACAAAACACATGTCAGGTGCCCTCCCGCTTCAGGTGCCCTCCCCCCTCAGGTCCCTCCCCTCAGGTGCCTCCCCGCCTCAGGTGCCCTCCCGCTCAGGTGCCCTCCCCGCCTCAGGTGCCCTCCCCGCCTCAGGTGCCCTCCCGCCTCAGGTGCCCTCCCCGCCTCAGGACAACGGGGAGGAACAAAACTGTCTTCGGGTCAGTGTGACCCCGTATGTTCAACTCTCCTCTCCTCCTCCTCCTCCTCATCCTCTCTCTCCTCCTCCTCCTCCTCCTCCTCCTCTCTCCTCCTCCTCCTCTCTCCTCCTCCTCCTCCTCCTCCTCCTCCTCCTCCTCCTCCTCTCTCCTCCTCCTCCTCCTCCTCTCCTCCTCCTCCTTCTCCTCCTCCTCCTCTCCTCCTCCTCCCTCCTCCTTCCTCCTCCTCCTCTCCTCTCCTCCTCCTCCTCCTCCTCCTCTCCTCCTCCTCCTCTCTCCTCCTCCTCCTCCTCCTCCTCCTCCTCCTCCTCCTCCTCCTCCTCCTCCTCCTCCTCCTCCTCTCCTCCTCCTCCTCCTCTCCTCCCTCCTCCTCTCCTCCTCCTCCTCCTCCTCCTCCTCTCCTCCTCCTCCTCCTCCTCCTCCTCCTCCTCTCCTCCTCCTCCTCCTCTCTCCTCCTCCTCCTCCTCCTCCCTCCTCCTCCTCCTCTCCTCTCCTCCTCCTCACTCCTCTCCTCCTCCTCCTCCTCCTCTCCTCCTCCTCCTCCTCCCTCTCTCCTCCTCCTCCTCCTCCTCCTCCTCCTCCTCCTCCTCTCTCCTCCTCCTCCTCCTCCTCCTCTCCCTCCTCCTCCTCCTCTCCTCCTCTCCTCCTCTCTCCTCCTCCTCCTCCTCCTCTCTCCTCCTCCTCCTCTCCTCCTCTCTCTCCTCTCCTCCTCCTCTCTCCTCCTCCTCCTCCTCCTCCTCTCTCCTCCTCTCTCCTCCTCCTCCTCCTCCTCCTCCTCCTCTCTCCTCCTCCTCTCCTCTCCTCCTCTCTCCTCCTCCTCCTCCTCCTCCTCCTCCTCTCTCCTCCTCTCTCTCCTCCTCCTCCTCCTCTCTCCTCTCTCCTCCTCCTCCTCCTCCTCCTCCTCCTCCTCCTCCTCTCCTCCTCCTCCTCCTCCTCCTCCTCTCTCCTCCTCTCCTCCTCCTCCTCTCTCCTCCTCCTCCCTCCTCTCCTCTCTCCTCCTCTCCTCCTCTCCTCCTCTCCTCCTCCTCCTCCTCCTCCTCCTCCCTCCTCTCCTCCCTCCTCCTCCTCCTCCTCCTCTCCTCCTCCTCCTCCTCCTCCTCCTCTCCTCTCCTCCTCTCTCCTC